TATATATATATGTATACACATACACATACACACACACACACACACACACACACACACACACACAGTATCATGAGCTTTTGTGGGCAAAACCCACTTCCTCAGATGAGCTTGAGTGAAGAAAAAAAAAAGGGTGACTCTCAGAATTGTACAATACTACATATATTTTGTTAGCTGCCACGGGACTACTTGTTATTAAAATTACAGACTAACGTGGCTACCCCTCTGACACTTCCATGCCATGAAGAATTTAGATAATATAGGGTTTAGTAATACCTAACACATGGATAGATAATGGTTTGAAAATGTAAAGGGCTATAGGGTATTCAAAATATCATGTTTATGTGACTAGGTAAAATATTAGATTAGTCCTGCAAGGACGGAACAGATTTATCCTTCTTTTGTATTCAGGGTCATAACTAATTACCACTCCATGAAAAGAAGTGTATTCTCCTTGTTAGCCTTGGACAGCCAACACAGCTAAACTAGAGTGAATCCTGTTCTATTTCTAAAAGTGCATTAGCACCAGAACTGTGCTCAGGGTTTCAGTCACTCACATCTATGCACCCACCGTGAAACATGGCACTGGAAGACCATCGGGTTGCACAGTTATCACTGGCGGCAGAATTTTGCCACCAGAACTTCTGTTACAAATGATTGTGCACAAGAAGGAAAGAAAGCAGCTTGATTTTTTGTTTCCAGGTAAAATCTGCACTTCTGCAGGGTCCCTACCAAGATAACACATCTTTTTCACAGCAAACTGTACACATTTGGCATCAAACTTGAATGCCCTTCCACATCACCTTTATAGTTACTATTCAGAGTAGAACCCCATTTTGCTAAATACATACAAAGGGGATACTCATAATCAGTGGATAACAATCTTGCCAATAATATCTCACATGAAGTATCTGACACAAAGCACATTCCAGTTATGTCATATTCATATTCATAAGCATGGACTGCCTCATGACAGTGGGGAAGGGAGCACTCAGCCAGCAAAGCAGCTATCTATCCACTGTCTTGTCCAATTTGCCTGTCCTCCTGGGAACATAGTGGAAGTTAGTTCTGCAAGGATCAGCATTAATTCCATGAATAGCTGCTCCTTAGTACCCTCTTAGAGATGTGTCTCCTCCTTGACTCTTGATTCACAGCCCCACCAGCCTGATGTCCAGCTTGCTTCCCCAGGCTCTCGTGCAGCGGCGGACTGGCAATCGAAATAGGCCCGGGAAATGGGTTGAGAACGGCGTCACTCCTGCGTGCCCCTCCCCCTTTTTGACATCACCCCTGAATG